CTACCAGAGTAGTAGATCATGCCCAGTGCACGATTCGTTGCCCCCCACCCCACCCCAACCTCAGTGCCCGACTTCCTAGACTGAAGGACAATATGGCCAGGCTGCAACAGGTGACTGTGCAGATCAGGCGGATTCCGCCACTGATGCCGAGGAGGCCCCTTCAGAGAACCGCCGCTTCACCAGGCCCCCTATTATATGAAACATGCCGGCACCGTCTGATCACAATATGCATGCCGTAATCTCTGTTTGGACCACGGTGAAGGGATGGTTACTAGCAGGCTCGTCCATGAGAACTTGTGCCCATTTTACCCATTTTTTGTCTTGTGTTCATCCCCTCCCAATATGTCTGATGCCATCAACCACCATATCCTCTCCGTTCGTATCCGACACGTAACTTGACTGCATCTGGCTGCACCTTGTGCAGTGTGCTGTCCTGAAAAGTATTCGCGGTATTCATCCTCGCTAGGTGAGGACCAGCCACAGCAGCCTGATGTAGGGAATGGACTCTCATGTGAACCGCCTGCAGTGTGCCGTCCTGAAAAGTTATCGCCTCCAGGGTGAGCAGCAGCAGACTGGATGCATGTTGCAACAGCTAAGCATCCTTTCTTTGGACCCGACCCCGTTCTCACCTGGCAACAGAGAGACAGGTAATGTCGGCTGTAAAATCCTGAGAAACTTTCCCAAGTACCGCGCTGTGCTCCGCCCTCTTGAAGTTCGGCTAGCATGTGATCAACATTCTTTGAGTTGTGAGCATTACGAGGGTAAGCCCTTGCAAATTTTTCTCTTCATGCGTACGATGACAGTGAAGGTTGTACAACACCCTTGCGTGGCATTTCCTATCTGTAGACAAAAAAGCTGGGATGACAGTGCCGTGCCTATACAACTGTGGTGGCCTTGCCCATGTGTCCCAAGCACGTGAGAGCCACGAGGGTAGTAGGGTCGAGGGAGGATCCTCTCTTGCTGGGGCTGATGGGAACTGCCCGTCATCCGAGGGATTCTACTCAGCGGAGGCAGTAAGGGGAGAGGAGGTGAGTCAGGTTGGGGAAGAGGTGGAGTGGACAGGGGAAGCTGATGAGGCATTATCATTATCGATATCATCGCCCTCATCTTCTTCGACGTGTTGTTTTGCTCTTCCAAGGTAAGCTATGGTTTCAAAAGGTAAGAGGTCAAGTGGGGAGAGCTCTTCTCCGCAGAGGCAGCACAAGGAGGGAGGTGCTTGCCTTGTAGGAGGTAAGGGCAGATGAGGGGGACCGCACTAGTCTGGGGCATCATCATCATCATCATCATCATCATCATAATCATCATTATATGAGGGACGCTGAGCCCGGTTCTCAGCTTGTTCAGTTCGGTCACTCCGGGTAGACTGTGGGGACCCCGGCCTCAATCTTCTTATTGGTAATATCAGCCTTGGGCACTGGGCCCGTTTTTGCGGAAACAAAAGGGGATGAAAGCGAAAAAAAAAGGTGAAAGAATTTCCTTGGAGAATCCTCGGGCTACAGCCATTTGGTGGCGTTCCCCAAGGGACCTCCCGAGGTCCCTTGGAGGTAGAGCGTCCGCGCCAATCGGAGCGGCGACGACACACATCGTCGACAACAAAATTTTTGTTGGCTGGTCAATTGGAGTGCCTACCAGCCACCGCACGAACATCTTGGGTTGTCACCGTTCGGCTTCAAGGAACCTTCCGCCAACTGTAACGATGGTGGCCTATCGGCCTCCATGAACGCCCCCAACTGGCGCTCTCCCTCGCCGTGCATGCCCCAAGGTGGAAAGGGGTCCAACGGTCGGCAATTTTGAATACTTCAGCCGACACTCCCTGTTCCGATTGCCCACTGAATTCGGCGACGGAAAAAGTTACAAGGTGTTTGTCCCATGCTGCGGTCTGCCGTTTGCAGCCCTCTTCGTTGCCCTTTGCTGGAGGTGTACTGTCGTCATCTAGCTACTGCCGTTCCCGACGTGCCTTTCATGGCCAATGTCTTTCGAAGGCTGCCGCTGCTGCTCCTGGTCATCCTTTCGCTTGTCCTTGTCGTCTTTTTCCACGTTTGCATCCTCGGCAGGCTGCCTGCACGTACACGTAAGAGGCGGTCTGCGAAGAAGGGCGTCAGCATGGACGGGCAGCAGGCGAAGAGCAGGTCTTCAGTGGACCACTCCAGAAGCCATGACCGTCACCGATGCCCACAAACTCCACAGACGCTCCACCGGATGACGAAAACGCACCGTTTGACGGCGAGGGACCGGCGCTGTGTTGCGACCCTAAACGACGCTCTCCGCCACTCTCCGCGCAGACGGGCACGGAGGACAACCGCGATGGCATCTTGACAGGGGACGCCTTCCTGCCCCGGCCAAACGCAGCATCCACGCCGACCCGCCGCCTCGCAGTGGAAGGCTTGTCCTTTCGGATGTTGTCCTGCAGCCACACGCCGATCTGCATTCACCCCAACAGCGTCATTTGAAATTGGAATTTCGAACCTGGACATCCGCGCGTTTTGGTTTTTATCTTTTGGAGGGCCGCCGCCGCCAATCGAATTTTCCCACCGACCTGAGCCGGACCACGCCCGTCCACACGAACAAAAGGCCATGGACCCCCGCCCAGGCCCGG